ATGCTGAGGTCAGATTGAATCCTCCCACCCCAGTGCTGCTTGGAAAAAAAAATCCCTCAAAATTGTTTGAAACTGGGGACCAGTAGAGGAGACAAGCAGGGACATGTTTACACCCTAGGCGCTTTCATTCTTCTGATGGTATGCCAACAGGACCAAGAGCTTTCTTATTTTTCATGTTGCCCAATGCTTCCTCAACTACTTCTTCAAGGACTGGTGCCATCAGATCCTGGTTTGGTTTTATCACAAGAATGGTTCTCTTGGATTCTCTTAATTCAGAAGCCTTTCAAAGTAATTTCTCTGCCATTCCTTAATTTGGTCTCGTTGATTAACATATTTCCACTTTCATCTCTAGTGACTTGATCTCACCAATATCTTTACTTCTCTTATTGCCAGTCTGTATATTTCTCTCTCACCCTGCTTTGTTTCAAGATGGGCATATCAGCCTTCCACAGCTTTAGCCACAGTGGCTGTCAGCTCTTTCTTCATTTCATACTCTTGAAAATCCTGCTGTTGGAGCGTTGCTTGACATTGTTTAAACACTTTTTTCTCCTGGATGCCCTCTCGAACTTTCTCATTCCACCACCAGATCTAACTGGAGAAAATGACTCCTGCTTTTGTACATTCTTGAGTTTTGCTTGCAATATGATTCTGCCATTGAGTCATATTTTCTCTTAGCCCTTCTAAAGAGATCTTTTCCAACACGTTCATTTTAAACTCCTTGCTAACTTCGTTAAGCTTCCACCTCTGGTTTGCTGTATTGCTTCGGACTATTTTCTTCTCGTGTATGAGACGTTTCCAGAGTCAAGAACCAGCAAGTCTATGCTGAGCTGCAATGTTTCCCCTTAAGATGACCTGACAGGTTTTTGATGTTCTTCAGCTCAGCTTGGCTTATCAGGAAGTAACCTACCTGCACCCTCAGCCTTTCACTCTTATAGATAATCAAATGTTCTTCCTTCTTAGTGAAAAGTGCATTCATGACTCAGACCAAATCACGTCTGGGTGCACTGTAAGCTAGTTTCCCCTTCCTTGTTCTTACGGCCAAATCCATGGCTGCTCTGGTACATTTAGAAGCATTTACTGTCTCTCCACAGTGACCATTAAAGTCAGCTCCAATTATGACTTTTCATTCTTTATCACTTTCTGCACAACCGTGTCCATTTTCCCCCAGAAATCCTTTGTCTTGTTTGCCACATCCCACTTAGGGTTCATATGCACATGTAACATTTAGGGGGGCATTTTCAAGAGCTAGCTTAACCAAAATGTATTCAATATACAGAGACAAGGTGGGTGAGGTAATATCTTTTATTAGACCAACTTCTGTTGGGGAGAGAGACAAGCTTTCAAGCTACACAGAACTCTTCTTCAGGTCACCAACAGATAAAAGATATGACCTCGCCCACCTTGTGTCTCTAATATCCTGGGCCCACCCCGGCTACAACACTGCATACACCAATACACAAAAGGCATAAGCAAATACAGATTTTAACAAAAAGAGAAGTCTTACAGTGGATAACCTCAGACACACTATTTAGTGCCTTTGAAATAAACCATTTTTATATGCATCACTAACCAACTGGCTCCCATCTTCTTCTTCTGTGTCTGAGCAATTAGAAAGGTAATTGCTGGACCAGTCCTCAAGCCCTTCACAGATTTCCACAGAGTGTGACATTTTAGACCAACCTGCAAGAAAATATGTTACTTAGTGCCTTAGTTTAAATAACTGATATATTTTTCAGCTGTTGGTTTGGAATATAACACACTGCAGTGTAATATTATGCACACAGAAAGATCTTGCAAACTTGTACATACTTTGGTTTGGCTTGTTTTGTGGTGATGAGCTGATACTATCCAACATTACAGGACTGGTGCGTTCAGAATCATTTTCTTCTGAGCTTATGGAGGCTCTATGCTGCTTTCTGAAACGTATAAAAGAAATATGTCATTGTTTTAATTTTCAAATATTGGTGAAGTCTGTTCAGTTTGGCAAGCCAAGGATCTAAGCAGGTACTTCAAGGTGCTTTTGAATACATCAATGACTATAGTGGCATATAATCTCGATGTCTGTATTGGTTCGGCAGGGGGACGGGACAGACACTGCTAAAGCAATTGCTTCTCCAGGCGCAAGCACCATATTAGTTGTAGATTTCTTCTGACTACACCCTACTGCTGAGATTATAGGAAATGTCCTTATGCATGCAAAACTCAGAGCTGTTTGTATGGGAGTTCTGTGCACCAATCAATATGGACTTCCTGTGGAGGTTTTAAACAGAGGGTGAGATTCTATGCTGTGCCTCTAAGAAGCACAGCACAGAATTCACAGCTCAGGGGAGGAGGTTGGCTTTAAGCCACTCTGGGTCCTTTCTAAGCTATGGCAGCTTCTTCAGCCCTGCCCAGCACCACCGCAGCACTGCATGCTGTAGCTTCATCCCCAACATGCCCCTCCTGCCGCCAGCTGTGTTCCTATGCCAGGGCGTGCAAGGAGCTCCCTCCAGAGGCAGTCTTACAGCTCTTTTCCACAGTGCTGCACCAGTGGAATCCTCTCCGGCTGGATATGGGGCTCTTAAGGCCCCTCTCCACTTTTCCAGCCCTTCTGCATGGCATAAGGGGACCAGAGTGGGGGTGTAGAGCTCACCCAGAGAGTGCCCGAAAGGCTCTGGATTTGCAGATGTATGTTAAATCGTGAACCTAGATAATTATTTTTGTTTTTCAAATCTGTCGAGCTCATCTGACTTACCCATCACTCAGCTGCGGGGAAAGTTGGATCTGGTCTGTAAACACACCGGATGGTTTCTTCTCAACTGTGAGTAGGTTGCAAATATTGTGTTAGTTAACGTGGTTTGTTAAATCACTCAGAGCCGTCACCCACTCCAAACAGACAAAGCGTGACTTCAAACATCAGCCTTTTTTGCACAAATCAGTTTTTTAAGGCAAAGTAGAACCTCATTCATTGGCACGAATAACTGCAGATTAGTTGGATTCCCAACTTTTGCAAATTGGGGAGTTAGTCTTTGATTCAGCATGGTCTGTTAGTAGGCACCCCAACTATAAGCATGCAAGTAAGTCCATTAAAGTCAAGGGATTACTCATGTACCTAAAATAAGGCAGGTGCTGACGTACCTTGCTGAATAAGGGCCTAAGAGAACAAATATGAAATTTAAAAATATCAAGATGCTGACCTCAAAAAAGGATAATGCTGATTTATTTTCGACAAGGGTAATCTGCCTTTACTTATAATAATACTGCCTGTTATGCTCCTATATGCACTATAATATTGTTCTTAAAAGTAATGAAGTATCAGTAATAGGAGACGTCAGCTATTTAATCTTTTGTGAAAAGTGGAGTGAAGCTGCTATTTCTCTTGGGTTTGCAGATTAGCAATGTGAGCATCAGAAAGGTTCTGCTGTAGTGAACACCAGCAGGAAATGGTTCAAACGTACCTTTTATAAGCTCCTGCTGCTTGAACAAAATTTTTCTCATTTCACTTAACCACGCCATCTTCACATCTACTGTTGGGGCCTGAAAGAGGAGAACGATTTGAAATTCGGTGGCTTTTATGAATCCCCCGTTCTAAAATTGAGTTGAGCCTCAGTTATCTAAACTGTAATTATCCAAAAATCCCTATTATCCAGAGCAAGGTTATAGCCTCTGATGACTATTCATTATATTGAAAATGTTCCTGACTCTCCAAAATTATTTAAAGTTCTCCATCACATTCAGATAGCAACAGTTGTACTGTAAATGGAAATCATGTAGAGCTCATCACAACACAAGGGGTGCAGTCAAAAGTACGTGGGCATGTCCCATTGACGCTTTTTCTAAAACACCCAAAGGCAAAACCTGCCTATGAATAATCAACTCCCACTTTTCAATGTGAAAAATGGAGCTGGTTCAGAATTCTAAGGCAACACCACACACATTCAAAATACCAAGCTTCAGTGGTTTTACAACTGGATTTTCAAGTAAATATAAAGCCAACCAAACATTTTCTTTCAACATTGTTGTTTAAAAAATGGCCAGAAAAAAACCCAAAATATCTAGGAAGAGATGTGGTCAGGCCAGGAGCGCTTGTTTTATAGATGAGCTGTAAGCTTCTGAAAATAGCAATTTCTGGTGCAATCAACGCCACAGCCTAACACCTAACATGGAAAGCAGTTCTGTTACCTAACAGCAATGGTGCATTTCTCACACATTTATTAAATAATGTAGCCGTTCCATGACCTCGTTCATAAAAGCTACTGAATAGATTAACTAATGTCCAACGCTGGATTTGAACAGGAACGAAAGGCTCTGTTTCCAGTTAGCAATCCAGTCCTCTTCTTAGAGTACTTTAATAACTATGGATTTGCTGCCTGTGATCAGACACAACAACCTGCATATGTTGTCTCCACTACTCGACTTACACACCCAGAGATATACAGCCGGAAATATAGGTTAAAATCCTATGAAAACATTGGGAGTTTTGCCATTGACTTCAATGGAGCCAGGATTTCACCCAGAGAGTTAATAAAATTCTCTTAAAATACAGATCAAAAGTTTGGAAGAAACATGTGTCACATCCTGCAGTGACATTTCAGTGCGACCGTGTGTTTTGGAAGCGGTGTCAATTAAAGGTGGCTGGGAAACACACTCCCTGGGAACCTTAGCTCCAAGGCAGCCTGTCTGGCAAGATCCGAAGGAGCTTGGGAACCAGGGCTGCAAGCCGGTTCAAGACCAACACTAGTATCAATGTTTATTGATTTAAGTTACAGTTTCCACAATATTCCTTTAGCACAGGAGGATTTTCTTACCATTATACTATGCAGTTTATGTTCTTAATCTTAAGCATGGCCCACTGCAGATGCCACTAAACAAAGGCAGCATAAGAACCTATTATATTAATCTACTGGACCATTATCAGTCTAATAGAGCAGCGAGGGAGCTGAACAGAAACGGTCCACACATATTTGTCAGCCAGAGTTCCCAGTTCACAAAGAGACAGGCAATTCTTAGCTGAATATCCACCATTTTAAACAGCACTATGAGGATATAAAAATAAAACATGGCATTTTAAAAATCACACACCTGAACAACGTACACCTCTTCTCGTCCGCTGTACCAGATCTCAAATTTTCGGTGATCCCCCTTCACATTTTCAGTGATTCCAACTGCATTCATCTGTTTTAAAAGAATCACGTCCTTTTAGTCTAATCTGAAAACTGAATGTCTTTCAGACCTTTACCATGAATTCACACATTGTGTTCATCTTAAACAGTCCCCTTGTTCCCCCACTCCACCCCAAATTAACAAAGTTCACCAAAAATGTTTATTTTCAGCAGTGACTGAAAGTGGTTATCTACAGTTGTTCACACTGAGCGTTTTGCTTTGACTGTCTGTAACATCTATAGAAGGTTTCTTGGAGCTACCAGTGCCCCTCTGGGGACTTTCCAGAACATTCATGGATCAGTGGGAGTGATTTAGAAGAGGGATCATAGGCCTGACTCTCAGGCCTTCTCCACAGTTTGTGCATCAACTTCTCACTGAGGAGAAGATTTAAAAAATAACCCCAACCCTCTTCTCATTTCAGACACAGCATCCAAGTTTCAGCGCAGTTCTGCTTTTCACCCAGGTCTACCATTAAAGGCCAACATTTCTGGAGGGGGGGGGGGGGAGAGATGTACACCTTGAGCTACCTTGGGCAGCAGGCTTCAAAATCTCCAGCCGGGAGAACTCAGCAACTCTGGAAATCAGGCCGAAAGCTGGGTACCCAAAACCAAAACCACTTTTGGTAATTTGGCTGGAAGTGACCAAGGCACAAAGAGATCATGTGGCTTGTACAAAGACAAACAGAGCCAGTGACTCAACTAGGATTAAAACCCGAGAGAGGTCTAGCCGCCAAGGAAAACTTTGCCCTAATTCTTAAACACACCACTAGATTCCTGCCTCACCAGCAACGGATACTAAGCAATATTTTAATACCGGGCTTATTCCTCTCCAGTGCATTAACATGCTTCTTGATGGCTTTTACAGCACAAGGAGCTAGGAATTGACAGCTAATAATTAGATGGTCCAAAAAGGGCAAACATTATTGCAATGTAGTGTTTCAAACCAGCTCTAGTAATGATGTATTTTGTTGCATACGTCACACATACACACACAGAGCTTTCTGTCTGAATGAAAGAGACAGTATACAAATTAGGCCACCTGGGTAAACCTTCTGTTCTATCTGTTTTTAAAATGTTGGCACCATTATCCGTAACTATGAAAGATGTCTTCAAGGAAACAGGAAGTTGCTAATTAGCTTCCTTCGTTTCTGCAGGTAATTTCCAAACACTTTTGGGTATAAATACCCAGAGTTCACCGCAAACTTCAGAGAAAGCATTTACCCCTGGATGCAGAAAAGGAATATCAGTGAACACGTCTTAGCTAATGTTTCTTTTCTGGGTCTATTCCACTGGCTCGGTGGCAAACTGGACTTGCAAATTGATGTTTTACAAAATTCTGATGCCTGCACTGAAGAACAGGGTCAAGTTTTCAAAGGTGCCTCAACCCAGCCTCCATTTGCTCCCCTACAACTGTGTGTATATAAAAATACCAGTGTTCAAGAACCGTGCCCACTAAAACCTGCTGCACAGAAGTTAGTACTCTCAGTGCACACAGAGATAAACAGAAACCCATACAGTGCCAGAATGCTGCAAAAAGCCAGATCTAGCTCCATTTTTTTTATAATTAAATACTACAAGAGCTGAGAAATTTCCCCCCCAAATGATTCAATTTCTATTATTTGTGCATATTTTGGCATAGGGATTTGCAAGGTTGTTTTTTTAATTTTTCTCTCTTTCTTTTTTTTAAACGAATGTTCTCAGTGTTACCCAAATATCATTCAGATGCCACAAGTGATGGTCTAGAAGATTATATACTACTGGAATCAGGAATAAAGTAGCCAGGAGTAAGTTACTGTAATAGTCTTAAACCAACTCTTCTCAGAAAAGTACTTAAAATATTATCCCAAGTCTTACAGATATACAGCTCTCAAATGAAGTTATTCTGATAGATTTCTCAGTTCCACAGCTTCCACTAAATAGATTTCCTAAACTAGACCTCTCTGAGAAACATTCTTCCTGAGCAAAAAAATGATTCGATACGATCACTAATCAAACAAATCCAGGGCTCCAGAAACACATTTCTGCCCCTCATGCCACCAATACGGAAAAGAAAATAATTCTTTTATCACAAATCACTCGGCTCTGCAGCACAACAGCTGGAAAGTGATGCAGACCCAGACAAATGTTAAGACTGGCTGAACCCTGGATTTTCTCTTCTGAACAAAGATTCCCCATGCAGCCACTCTGGAATCTATAAAAGCCCTTAGGAACTTTTCCTACAAGGAAAGAGAAGCTCTCAAGAAACAAAAAGATGAT